ATTTCCATCCGTTTACCACCTGGAATACACCCGAGGCCGCCGGGACCCCGTCCAATCATGCCAACCAGTCTCAAAGCATAATGCGAATCTGCTCGAGGCCTCGAATCACATCAAACAACATCAAAATAACGAATCACACCCCAATTTGAGCTTTATGAACTTTAGAAGTTCAAACTTCTACATTCGATACCGAAACCTCTCAAATCACGTCCGATTGACCTCAAATTTTGCACAACGGTCACATTCGACATTACGGACCTACTCCAACATCCGAAATCGGAATCTGACCCCGATATCAAAAAGTCCACTTCCGGTCAAACTTCTTAAAAACTTTCAAATTTCTAACATTAGCCAAATGACTCCAAAATGACCTACGGACCTCCAAATCCACTTCCGATCGCGCTCCCAGTACCAAAATCACCATACGGAGCTATTCTCGGACTCGTACCCACTAACAAAAGCTTGAAGAGCATTGTTGACGTGGATTTTCTATGGTTGCGGTGTTATTCGGATGTGGAGTTGGTGGTATAGTTGGCAACCCACTAACAAAAGCTTGAAGAGCATTGTTGACGTGTTCTGCAATTAGTTGCTTCAGTGCATCATCAATAGCTTTATCTTCCCCTTGTTGGTCATTCACATGTGATGTTGATCTGTCAGGTGACCCTTTTCGGGAATGTTGAGGAGAGTTTCGGGGTGAAGGGATTGGAGTTCCATCGTCTTGTTGATTCTGCGGGTTCAACTGGTTTTGCTGAATTTGTTGGTTGTTGTCGTTAGCGGTCGACATGAGTTTTTGACAGAAAAAAAAGATTTGGAAAGTGAAAAGAATATCAGATTTTCGGTAACGGAACCAATTTTTTTAACCAAAAATTGTGTAATTCGGTTAAAGCTTACTTTAAGAAGTACTCGGGCTACTGATAATCAGATAATTCTATATTTACTCAGTGATAAGAAAGGAAATTAGAATATGAGATAGCAAAAATAGCCAATAGCAAGCAAAAGAAAGTAATTGTATTCCAACAATAATCAAAACATCTCCGTACAAATGATATCCCTTTCCCTTATATAGGAATCTATAAGTACAACGTCTTTCCCCTTTTATGGCCGAATCATTATGAGCATTAATGATATTAATGAGACGTTATAATTGGTAATCGTAACTGTTCATGAGGATTCTGTAACGTTTGAGATCATTCACGCTCATTAATTAATGATTCATGAATCTTTCCTTTTTACTGTCTTGATTCATTCCACCGGTACCTCTTTATGTAACCATTTAGACTTGAGCCACCATATCATTTCCTCTCGTAGGTGATTTGCTCGTATCTGTTACGACTCGTGTATCTTTCGATGCATCTCTACAGCTGTCGTTTTTCTAGTAATCCATATGTCTTGTCATATCAGCCACATATTTTATTCCACGTGTAATATTTTTTACCAAAACTACGACAACCCCAACAATCATTATTCCTCAATACTTTCTTTCACTCTATACATTCTCAGTCTATCTCCTTATTCATTTAAGCAATCTCATTTCAATATTATAAATCACTAATGTCTCTAGCACTGAAAACTCTCTACACTTTCAATTACCATATAATCTTTTACGACACTAAAAAACTGCTAGCGAATATTGATGTATAGTACTGGAAATGTACATGTCTAAAACCTAACGAATCTCGATTAATTGGTAGTATCACTTACATATTTTTTTTTCTTTTTTTCATTTCGAGACAAGGGTCACTTTGTCTCCTTTAGTACTTCAATTACCATAGTTTATAAAATCTTGAAAAAAAATAGCAATCAAGAAAAAATTATTGGACTTTCAAAATAGAGGAAACAAATATCCCCTTTACATACACATATGAAATATAAAAATATAAAGAAAAAATCATTAAATTTTTGTTTTTCTCAAGTTGTTTAATTTTTCGTTAGAGTCGAGTTCTAAAAGACATTGAGACATTCATCTAAGAATTTTAAATTAAGTTGATTGCGAATAACAGTATTCCACGTTGTTGAACGGTATCTATATCATTTGCATCAAAACGTTGAACTTGTCTAGTTTTTATGGACAACTGCAGCCTCTTGTGTACGAATTTCTTGTAAATTGTTATTATAAATCTAATTGACCATTGAATTTCTTTTATAAAGATACTACAAAGACCTCCCAATTTTAAAGCCCCCCTCTCAACCCTACAAGGGGTAAACAAGGAAAAAGCAAATTTAGAAATCATAATGAATAAATTTGCCGATAAACGGTAAGATAATTTTCTTTTTAATTTATTGTTATTATATTAGCTTAGAAAGTGAATTTCAACTTTGAGCTTTCAATTTTGTGCTACCCGTGAGCACGTGATTTTTGCCTCGCTTAAATTACTCCTATAAAATTCTTAGAATTAGGATTTTTCTTTATTATTTGATGTTTTTATGAATTAATTGCATGATTTTGTGTCTTGTTTGCATTCTTGTGTGCATTTTTACTAGATATAATTCCAAAAATACAAAGTAGTACACGTTTAATATTACAAAATAAAGAAAATAACAAAAATGGTTCTTTGCATTTATACTTTTAATTTTAGAATTTGTCTTAAGTTTGCTTTTAAATTAGGAGTTAGTTTAATTAGGAATTAATTAGTATAGTTGTAGAGTAAATTTGGGTCTTTATTTTTTAACCTTGCATTTAATAAAATCAGGTAAATTAAATAAAAAAGAGAGTAAATAAAAACAAAAGAAAAACAAAAAGAAGAAAACAAATAAAAAAAGAATTAAAAGAAAGCATGGTCTTAGTAAAATGCCAAAATTTTGGGGCCAAATTCAATTCTAGCCCAAACAAGCCCTCAAATCCGGTCCAAATCTTGACCCTGAACGACCAAAACCCATTCCCCAACCCGGCCTGCCTCCCCTTTAGTAAAACGACGTCGTTCGGTTTGATTTCAATCTCAGCCGTTGGTTCGTCTGATCCAACGATCGAGAACTGCCTAGATTTTCAGTATATAAATGTCGGATCCCTGACCTACCCCCCTCCCCCCCAAAGGTCGTCTCTCTCACCCTCTATCACAGAATTATAACGCCGCCCTCCTCCGCCTCACGCCGCCGCCATAAATCGCCTCACGGCAGCGGGCGGCGTCCAATGACGCTCAAATTCACACCATCTCTTCTCCCTCACCTCCCCATTCCATATCCATCATCAACTTCCTTCAAAATCCCTTTCAAAACTCCCAAATCCTTGAAACCCTAGGCGCCAAAATTTGATCACGCCCAACTATGCCTTATAAAAAGGACTAAGCGGTCGCTGCAAATTTAATTCGGTTTACAAGTCCGGAGTCAAATCCCACAGAGAACTAAGGTTTAGCTACAGCTGTTCACTATCACCAAGAAGACAAGCTTGAACAATTCCTAACTTATAGATATTAAGATTCTTGTGTTTAACTAATTAACTAACAAACTAAAATAGTAAATTAACAACTAACGATACTGAGGGTTAGAGAAAAGATTAAGGAGGTCTAGAGTTATGATTTTCCCTATTGTCGGAATCCTTCCCGCTATGTCTTCTATAATTTCGCCTAAGTATTCTCTACCGATCATGAGCACTCTTATTGCCGTAAATCTCTCCCGAGTAATTACAACAATTTACTAGACGCACTCTCCCGAGCTACGCTAGCTGGCTTTTAATACAGCTCACTTCAGATCGCACCCAAGGCTTCGTTATCCCTAATCCCTCCTTTAAACCCTCGGTTATTAATCCTTCATATACTTTGGGAGTGGTGTTGTTCAACAATTACCTAAATATGCACTCTCTCCCGAGTTATGCATACTAAATAGGCACAGCTAATTGAGAGCTCTTCAACCAACCACAATATAAACGTAGTTGAACAAATAGAGTAAAGCTATGGCTCAATTATATAAAAACATAACAAGAATTTATCCTACAAAAGGTTCTATCAAAACTCTAGATAACAAATTAGCTATTCATAATAGTATGTAAAACTACAATACTAAAAGTCATAACCAACAATGAAAAATAGGAAGAGAAAGGAAAAACTCGTAGAAGAGTTCTCCGCCTTGCTCCCAATGTGTTCTTGCCTCCTTAGGTCGAATCTATGTCTCAAAATATGTCCCCTTCTTGTTCTTGGCCGGCCTCCTTTGTTTAATATAGGGTTTAGGACTTAAAATCCCATGTTTTGCACTTTAGTCCCTGAAATTTCCGCTTCCTGCCGCGGTTTTGCCGCGGTCGCGGTGGAACCGCGGCCAAACATGCCCTCTGATTCTTCAGTTGTCCGCGAGTACACTCTGCCGCGGTTCTGCCGCGGTTGCGGTGGAACCGCGGTTTTTCACCCTGTTCCGTTTGGAATTTGGAAAAATGTAAAACATAAAAGTTGTAGCCCTTTTAGTTAGCTTTCCAACTATATATTGTGGAGCCCAAATGGAGTTCTGAGCAAAAAGTTATGTCTATTTTACTAGACAGTGCGCAATATGCCTCCTCAAGTCTTCGTTCGTACTTAATTATCAAATTTGACCCCCGAACACGATCCCAGCTTAATTCCTTGAGCTTTTACTCAGACTTCAAAGCTTCAAATCACTTAAATTCATTCCATAACATCTATATAGCTCGGAATCACACCTACAAGGCATAAAACACACAATTAGTGCAAAACACTACCGATTAAAGCGCAAACTCAATTAAAGTGCAGTAAATTCGAGTGTAATAAGCGACTAAAATATGCAATTATAGCCTATCATCAGTTGCCTATGATAATCTTTCGGCAACAAGTTGATGCCTCTTTATCCTCAGGCATGCACGTCCATGCAACTAATTTTGTTCAGCTTCTTGGTTAACAGCACACACTTACCATAACCATTAGTTATTAATAGACCAAGAAAACAAGAACTGGATGCTTAAACTTCGAATGCTATTACTCTCTTTCTTTACTAATACTCCACACCATTTCATTGAGAATTGGATCATCTGGTTAATTAATTTATCCATGTCAATATGCACACTGTTTTTCCAAGACTTTTGTGTCATTAATTAAATCATACGCAATCTTTTGACGTTTAATGTACATATTTCAGTTCTCTATGTCTAGCACTAGCTATAGATGAAGTATGAACTAATTACAAATACTATCAGTTTGAAAGTACGTAACTTTTCTCTGTAAAATTTACTAATTCTAAATTCTGAATCGGCTACTGTGACTGATGCTATTGTTGCTGTCTTTCTTGAACCATGACGGGGAGTCCACCTCTCACTGTGGCTGTCAACCCGGGCATGAACCGAGGAGTTTGCTCTTTTGCCACAACTTGAAAGTCAAATTGCCTAATCAAAGCCAAAGCAACACTTTTCATCTCCACAATAGCCAAATCCTTGCCCAAACAAACCCTAAGCCCACCTTGAAAAACTGGATACTTAAATGGACATTGTGGCTTAAAAACCCCATTTTGCAACCATCTTTCTGGCTTGAATTCAAGACAATCTTGACCCCAAATACTCTCCATTCTTCCCATTGCATAAGGATGATAAGTTACCCTTGTACCTTTTGCTACAAATGTACCATCGGGGAGCGTATCATCTTCTTGACAAAACTTTGAATCAAATTGAACTGGTGGAAATAGCCTTATACTCTCATGCAACGCTGCTGTCAAATAATGCATTTTACGAATTTCCTCAAAGCTAGCAAGTTTTTCTTTTTCTGTTTCTCCCATGACTCGACTCGACTCGGCTCGAATTTCATCTTTGACTTCCGGATGTTGACTTAATAACCAGAAAAAAGTGGTCAACGCAGAAGCAACAGTGTCTCTTCCTGCTAGAAGAAAACTAATGACAATATCCCTAAGGAGTTTATCATCATTAATATTCCTCATGAATCTTGATAAAAGGTCATTTTGAGATGAAAAATCATTTTTTCTTTTATGACTTATCATTTCCTCAGCAAGAATATCAACCATTTTAATTGCTTCTTTCAGCTTCTTCTCTGATCCAATATTCAATGCCCTTTTGATTTTCCAAACTAATGGAGAAGCTGTCATTGCTCTTTCAGCTGACAACTTAGAAGCTAAATCAAATGCCACTTGAAGATCCGAAACTGGCAATGATAATTTCAAGCAACCCGGATCCATTCCAAAAGAGAATTTACATATACTATCAAACGAGAATCGCCGAAAAACATCTTGCAAATCCAAAACGGCGTCGTTCTTGTTACTTTCCAAAAGTGGAATAAGCCGGTTTCTAATTTCGTCTCCGACGATATCGAAAGCGTACGAACGTATCGAAACGCTGCCGAGTTCTAAACTAGCCATTTTCCGCTGCAACTTCCATAATTCGCCGTCGACGGCGAAAATTCCTCGGCCTAAAAGATCGCCCAAGATTGTAGCAAATTGTCTCCCTTTTGGGAAATTTTCGAATTTTGTTTTGAGCATGTACTCGACGTTCTTGGGATTTGCTGTGATCACATTTCCAAGAACGTGAACGTGAATTGTCCCAGTTGGTGATTTTTTTAAAAGATGTGAGTACCAATCACAAAGATTCTTGAACTGTAAAGTCCAGCAAGTACTCAAATATCCTTTGCAAATCTCACACTCACAACAAGGCTTAATTTTAGAAAGAAATAAGAAGGCTGATAATACTAGTACAAATATTGCCAAAATCAAGAAAATGATAGGAGTTGCCATTGCTATGATTTCAAGAATTATGTAAGAAGTTTAATTCTCGGGAAAGAAAGAGATATCAATTAAAGGGATTGAAAAGTGAAGGAATGATGAGAAGAAGAGAATAGAGGGTTTGGTTCTTTATTGTGAAGAGGACAATGGATATATATATAAATGGAAATTTTTCAATTTTACTATTCTAGAAAAACCAGAAATCTACGTACACGGTTTTTTGTCTATCAATTTGAGTCACTACTTTGGTTTTAGTTCTAGAACTAGAAAAGGACATTACAGCTAGTGGTTGAGCACAAAGGACAGCGACGTTCAAAATAGGGAAGGGGGCCACGAGTAACGCGTGCGCTAAGATATTATACGAGGAAAAGTCATTAAGTGTAAATTGCCATACAGTATATATCCTATTTTAACATATGCGCTATTTTGGATCATTATTGGTTATTGGAGCTAATTACAGAAATTAAATGCTAATAATGGACCATTAGCCGTATTAAGCATTTTTATATTTTTAACCACCGGTTGAGATTTATTTATTTTTAATTTGTTTCTCTAAAAGTAATTGGGTATCTTCGTTGTTAGTTGGTTTTATTTATTGGAAACTGAATATTGTAAAAATTAGTGCAAATTAATGAAAGTTGCATTATATACACAGTGTGTGCGCGCCTTTATTATGTGTGCACATTCGTCTTTTTAAGGTTCAAATGCATACTTAAAGTGTTACACATTTAGAATGTTGTCTACCTAATCAGGGCGGATTCACCTTAGAGCCCATCGTGCACATGCACCCATACTGTTTGACTTTAAGAGTGAATCTTATATGCAAAAATTTTAAAAAATTAGTTCCATATCGCAGTGTGAACCCATGGTGAAAAACATATGCTGCGTCCTTACTGCCTTAATTTTATAGAGCTTCTGCTAATGTATACCCATGGCTAATGTTTCAGAATTCAGATTAACGAAAGCATTTGCTAATTTCTTTTCAGTTTTCTTTTATTTCTTTTTGTTTTCTTTTTCTTTTCCCGTTCGACTTTTTCTCTTATCTCCATTTCATTGGAATATGTGTTCTTCAATGCAATTCTGTTACACATTTTTTTAAATCTCTTTCTTTTTAATTTTTGTTTTTCTAATTCCTTGACTGCGTAGGAAGCAAAACTTCATGGTGGATCTTTAGATTGAATTAGTATTTGCCTCTATCTTGAGCTACTATAAATAATTTACATGATTATCGGATTTAAGTTACAAATAAAAATCACTAAATAATATTTGTATTAGTTTCAGTTAAATTATTGAATTTTTGTCTCCAAAATTTTCACAACTAGATAGAGATTATTTTACTTTTGGCAAGCAATTCAGTAATAAAGAATTTAGTGATATGCTCTACGACTTTTTGGTATCTTCTTGCATTTTCTTGCAATCAATTTGCACATAAATCAATTTTTCAGCTATCTATATTCCACTTTGTTTTGAATTTTGACATCAAGAATAATATTTTAACTTTTTTTTTTACTTTAGTCTATAAGTCCGTTTGGATTAGCTGATTTGAAGTAGTTGATAAGCATTAGGTGCTGAACAGCACTTTTAAGTGCTGAAACTGATTTAATAAATAAGCAGTTACGTGTTTGGGTACAAGTGCTGAAATTGATAATAAGTTGCTGCAGTATTTGATAAAAAAGTGCCGATAATCTCTTTTTCTGTTAAAATGACTTAAATAACCTTAGAACTGTTTACGCTAATAAGGGCGTAATTTCTTCAAAATTTTAGATTCCAGATCGATTCAAATACAAAATATTCTATTTACATTAATAAGTAAAAAAAAAACTTCTTTTAGTTCGGGGGGGGGGGGGGTTCTGGGGGTAGGGGTAGGGGGAGGAGTGGGGGTGGGTGGTGCAGAAAATAAAAAACAAAAATTTGAAATTGCAAAAAGAAAAGGTAAAAAAAAAAACTTTTAGCGGGGAAGGGGGGTTTGGGGGCGGGTGGGGTGGGAGTGGAGGGGTAGTAGGGTGGGTGGTAACAAAAAATTGAAATTTAAAAAAAAAAAGGCTTTTTGGCGAGAGGGGGTGGGTTGGTGAGGGTGGGGAATGTTGAGAAGAAGTTTTGGAAAATGTTTTCCCTTCTCTTGATAAAGAAAACATTTTTCTCCAATTGGAAAAAAATGAGTTGATAAAAAAAATATTTTCCAAAATATTTAAACCAACCAAACATGAAAAAATTAAAAGATATTTTCCGAAAAATATCTTCCTTCGTACCAAACACACCCTAAATGTTAAAACGAAGAAAACAAATGAAGACGCGGTTTAAATATAAAGAAGAGAAAGAAGAAGGAATGTCCACCATGTCGGCAACATGGAGAAGTTACACATGCCAAGACGTCGGCAACTCTAGGGTACATGGAATATACATATATATGCACCTTTCTGAGGCAGATCCGCACTTAATTTCATAGACAAACTATACTCCAGCTGTCTCAGAATTATTGCATTAATTTTATTACTTATCCATATCACATAAGTACTATCTAGTCGGGAAGGAAATCGCACAACAGCGTTTACTTTTTTCATTTCTTTCTGAGTTTCCTAGAGAAATTTAGTCTGTTCGATTAAATTAGATTTGCACTCTGCATAAATAGTTGTCATTGACTTAATTAATAAATGCTAGGCTCCTCCTATTACGAAATTTAATTAAATAGCTAAGTTCTCTTGTTATTCTTCCGTCTCATTTATATAACAGTAGGAAGTTTGAAAAGGTTAATTTAATTTACGTCTTAATTGAAAGATTTCCAAAATTTTGGACTGATTATTTCTCAACACATTACTACGTTAAAAATTAAACAATAGTTATTGATAAAGCTATATTACATATATTTTGAACTCAATATTGAATTTAAGAAAGAAGGCGTTGTGGTCTTAAATGTATTATATATAAATTTGTGTGATTATAAAAGCTTGTCATTAGGGATAAAATACAAAATTTAAGATAAATTGTTAGTACTAATATCTATTTTTAGAACGGATTAATATAAAAATAATACTACTATTACATAAATTAAAATGAAGGAAGCATTTATATATTAAAGCAAATCTTGATCAGTACGGATAAAAGCCAAAAAGAAAAAGATTAACTTACACTTGGAGAAACTCTGAGTCCGGAACCTAAATGTGGTTCTTTTGGACTTAAAGCACTTTTTTAAGTGTAAAAAAAAAAAAATACATTTTTATATAAAATGCTGAAGTAAATCGCGATTTAGTGGAAGCTGAAGTATATAAAACGCGGTGCATTACCGCATTTTATATAAAGCACGGTAATGAACCGCGTTTTATATATATAAATATCATATCCCCTTCCCTTTCCCCCACGTTCTGCCCACTTCCCTTCTTCTCTTAAAAAAACAAAATCAGTCCCCCCTCCATTAACGATCCAAAAAGCTCGTGTGGACCCCACCCGTCCCATAAAAAGTAGATACTGTTGGTCCCACATCCTAGCCAAACCTTCTATTGTTATGGGTTGCTTGTTTCGGAGTCAAAATTTCAAAACTTCAACTTTTCGAAAAATATAAATCGAGGTATTCCGATTTAGTTTATGTCCAAACTCGTATAAATAATGCATATTAGTTGTTTTGAATGTGTTGTATGTTGTTTTGTATTTTTTTTGCGATTAAATTGATATGTTATTTTTATCCGGACTAAGATATTAATGTTGTAAAAAAATATGTAAAAATTGTGAAATCGTTATTATTTGTTAATAAATTTCTATTATTGTTTTATATGTATTTTTGTGATTACAATGTTTGTTGTATTTTATCTGGTTTAAATTATTTATTTGCTTAAAGACTAGTAATATAATTCTTTTTAGGTAGTAAAATATAATGCTTTTTAGCGTATTAAAATGTAGTACCTTTTAGCGTAGTATAATGTAGTGCCTTTTAGCGTAGTTTTCCTGTAGTGTAAGTATCTCTTATACCCAAAAATACGTCAAAATAACTGATAGATCAAACACAAACTCCGTCCAATTATAGTCAACATATATTTGTTGCTACTGGGCCGCAAATATCGAGCCTGGAACCCATATATGAATATTTAATAATTAAATATTATATAATTTTAAAAATTAATTATTTAATTTACAAACAAACCTATAAAATTATAAAAATAACATATAAAATAATAAAACTAACAATTAGAAGAATTCAGGATAAATCGCTGCTACTGGGCTCCAAATATCGAGCCTGAAAATTAGTCTGATGAATCTTTCTTGTAGGATAAACGTGTTAGTCTGATGAATATTTCTCCTAAGATAACAGGATAGAAATCTTAGTCTGATGAATCTTTCTCCTAAGATAACAAAAAAAAAACCTAGTCTGATGAATTTTCTCCTAGGATAGAAATCTAAGTCTGATGAATCTTTCTCCTAAGATAAGAAACCTAGTCTGATGAATTTTCTCCTAGGATAGAAGTCTTAGTCTGATGAATTTTTCTCGTAAGATTAGAAACCTAGTCTGATGAATCTTTTTCCTAGGATAAACATCTTAGTTTGATGAATTTTCTCCTAGGATAAACAATCTCAGTCTGATGAATCTTTCTCCTAAGATAACAATAACAAAAAAACCTAGTCTGATGAATTTTCTCCTAGGATAGAAATCTTAGTCTGATGAATCTTTCTCCTAAGATAAGAAACCTAGTCTGATGAATTTTATCCTAGGATAGAAGTCTTAGTCTGATGAATTTTTCTCCTAAGATAAGAAACCTAGTTTGATGAATTTTCTCCTAGGATAGAAATCTTAGTCTGATGAATTATTCTCCTAAGATAAGAAACCTAATCTGATGAATCTTTCTCCTAGGATAAACGTCTTAGTCTGATGACTCTTTCTCCTAAGATAAGAAACCTAGTCTGATGAATTTTCTCCTAGGATAGAAGTCTTAGTCTGATGAATTTTTCTCCTAAGATAATAAACCTAGTCAGATGAATCTTTCTCCTAGGATAAACATCTTAGTCTGATGAATCTTTCTCCTAGGATAACAGGATAAACAATCTTAGTCTGATGAATATTTCTCCTAAGATACCAAAAACAAAAACCTAGTCTGATGAATTTTCTCCTAGGATAGAAATCTTAGTCTGGTGAATCTTTCTCCTAAGAGTCTGATGAAT